AGTATTTTACAGTAAGAAGAAAACATTCCCCATCACTTAAGGCATATTCAAAGTCTAGTTAGATAGTGATACTTTTTTTTCAATTTGTGGATGTTTTATACCTTTGTGTATATATATGAAAATAACTTCTCAAATATAAGGCACTATGTTTCATTTATTAAAGTATAAAATGACGCCCAAATTTTGAGGTTATTTTTGCCACCAGCAATGTCCTTATTTTTAGTATCTGGTCTTGACTGGGAATAGATTGCTGAAAGTCACCATCTGCTTCGAGTTTGCACACAAAATCCCAATTAGCTAAACTTCATATATGTTTTTCAAGGTAATTATGCTTACTTTTTTCCAAAATGGGAAAATATTTGTCAGATAGTATCTGGATGTCCTCATAAGCACAGCAATCTTAGCTTGACTTCGTCTGCCCTCTAACATGCTCAAATAGAAGGTTATCAATTTGGTTGATGAAAGATTATGGCCTTTGATTACCACTGCTCCAAAGTACTCTGTTTCCCCTTGATTACAAACACACATAGTTAAACTTAACAAGTCAAAGAACCCTGGTTTTTAATTCCACAGGGAGAAAGGAACTTTAATTAACATTTCTAAATATTAACAGTACTTGAAAATACAATATTCACGTACTGGTTTTTGTGTAAGGAATTTGAGTTTCTCATACAAACAACCTGAGAATGCATCTATCAAACATTTTTGATGCAGCAATATTATAAAATAATCCTAACCAATACTATCAGCACGTTATTAATATTCTTATTACAAGAAATCTCTCCACCTAGGGTAACTACACATAAGGCAAATCAAAGTCACACTATCAATGTGAACACTCAGATTTTTCTTCCAGATAGCTAGATATTAAAGCCCTATTGCACATCAGAAAAATTATTAGCAAGGGCCAAAGTATTCAATTAAAGCTCTTTCCTTATTATATAGAGGCTTCAGAAACGAAGTAGAAAGATTTCCAGTTGGCCTATCCTCCCACTGAAATCAATGATATTACCACGTATTGTAACTGTTTAAATACAGGACGATGTTGAATGTTTTGAAAATCCCACACTCAAATTGATCTGAGCAATCTGAATTGATTGAGAAAATTGAAGCCAATAGACACTGTGCTATTACAGATTAGATTTAGGTCCTTTATTTATCATTCTGTCTGACTTCGATTTTTCTCAGTCTAGATAGAGCCAAATATAATTCAACTTCCTATGCTCAACATTTCACATTAAATTAAATAAACCCTATTTGCCTTTGATCTCTTTTTCCCAATAAGTATGCGCACAGCTGCCCAGTCTTGAGCAACAGAAAAAATGTTAGGGTGGCTGAACAGAACTTAGTATGACAAGATTTAACATTTGGACAGCAACACTATCATCACATCTTTCAAGTAAATCTAGTTATTCAAAAGTACTAAGTGATTTTCTGTACTCATTAATTCCTACCATGAAACACAAAGCTGGGACAATTTGGACAATTTAGAGCATTATTCTATTTCCTTTACAAAAAGTATCTTCTCCTGATGAAAAGTTGTACAAAAGATTGATTTTGTAACAGTAAAATAAAAATCACTTTAAAATCAAAAGCTAGTACTGAGTATTGCTGCTCTTTGAGTGATGCCAACACAGTCCTAGACTGGTATCCTGTTTGGAGGAGAAAAATGGATTCTTTTTAAGATCGCATTCTAAATTTTCCATCTTGTTATTTGAATGCTATTGCACTGCTGCAACTGGTTAGCACTGCACATCTGGCTGAATTGTCTTGGACTGGTATTTTCCCTAAACTATTGTGTATGTGTGTGATGGGTTTTTTAAAAAAATACTGTATGCACACTGAAACAATGCCCTATTGCAGAGTGCTACACGCAATAATTAGTGAGAGCATATTTTTTTCCTGATTTTGTTTTCAATGTCAAAAAAGTGCTATTTTTAAAGTAAGCCACCATGAAATTCTAGCCATGCTTTTAAAGTATTTTTCATTTTGGTTTTTTTTGGCTCTTAATCTCATAGGCCCAAACTTCACACTGGAAGTGTTATCTCATAAAAGCTCTAAATTTCAGCAACTTTTACTCTACAGCTACTATTTTAAACTTGCATTTATCAGGAAAAAGAGCATATAACTCAAATATTCTCATAAAAATAGTTTCACAGAAACAAAACAGATAAATGTTCCATTCAGTAAAAGGTCAATTTTTCATAACTTTGGCTACAGAAGCCCTACAATTCAGCCAAATTTGATTCCAAAGCCAAAAGTTTCTACGTCCTGCTGCTACAGACCATCGTATTAAGACTTTGCAAAGTCCATCAGACTAATGTGGGGGCAAAAAGTCAATCTTTTCTCATAAAATTACCAACATGACCAATTATTGTTACTTATAAATACTACCACTTACAACTTTTGCAACTCTTAAGCATTTAAAAAAAAAAAAAAAAAGGATGGAGGAGAGAGGTAAAGCGATATTTCTTCCTTAAAAATAAACAAACACATAAATACCTAAAGCCCTAAAAATGCAAGGTCCTGGTTTGCTTTCTAGTAGAAAGGATCTGGAAAGCCCCTATTTCTGGTCACCTAAGAATTCCCCTGCCATAGGGGAGCTCCCAGCTGATACACAGCCAGCATTACTGTATCCTGCACAGATACCATTTGACACCAGCACAGGATGCATTAGGAGCTGGAAAGAAGTGGCCAGAGCACGTTTTATACTTCTGAAGGCTCCCATGCCTAGATTGCTCTAATTTATACTCAGACTAGCTCTGCCTTATACAAGGCAGTTCTGCAAGGCTAAGCATAAATTCAGTGCAACAGAGAATCTGGATTTAGCTAGATATAAGAGGTCTCTAATGCTAAATCATAAATCAGTCAAGAACACTGAACTTGTTTTTACTGTCCTGTAAGATCTGGGGTAACTCGGAGCCTGGACAAAAGTAATCGGTGTTCAGAGCTGTCATCCTCTGTCTTAACCACCACAATCAGGTGTCTTGGTCTATGCAAGCGCACAAAACCTTGCATGTGTTCTTAACTGTTGGGAACTGTTGTTCTTAACTCTATTGGGAATTCTCATCTGTACATTAATTGCTCATTTTTCATCACAAATGCAAAACATTTGGCTACAGCAGCAGGATTTCCTGACAAAAATGTGCAATTGTGTCTCTTGTGTTTGCCCAACTATATTTGAGACACAAGATTAACTTTCAGCACATTTTCCAAGCAGCAAGCAGAAGAGATTTTGGGTTGACTGAACAGGACATATGAGAAAGAAAGACACTGAGTAGAGTCTCTGTCTTCCTCCACAAGTTTCTATGAAAATGCCAAAAGGAGTTTTGCACCTTTCTTTAAAACACGTCTGGCATGACGCCGGCCAATGCTCCCAAGCCATGTGTAAATTCAGCTCAAGAAACACACTGTATCATTTAGTCTCTGAAGAAAACTGTTCACTATTTCTTGCAATAATGAAAACCTGGCTTCTGGTTTTCCAGATACAGATTTCTGCTACCTAGTAAAATTTGGGCTTTCTGACCTTTGTCAGTTTTATGGATTTTGTAGATACGCAATTTCTGAACATATGTACTGCAGTGATTTTGATCAGTAGTTCCCAAGCTTAGCTCATTTGGTTACCACCATCAGAGGTGGTCACCTTATCTGTGATAAGACTGTCTATGCAAAACTGGAAGCTTCTTGCCAGGCCAGGTACGTGTATAAAAAAGCATGTCTGTTGCCTCCAACCCTCTTCCTGCAAAGTTTCATTCATCAAAGTGGGATCCTCAATTCCATACTTTCACCTACCACTGCACTACATATCTCACCTCACAAACTAGAGCCTCTGTTAAGTGTCCAATCCCTTACTTACCTTTTGACCACACATTGCACCAACACAAAGTAGGGTGACAGTGACTGTAGCCACATCCTCCTACATAAAAAAGCCACCCTGGCTCACCAATCATGCTTTTTGCTGCCTTAACCCTCCTTGATACCTTCCTGAAGCAAGCAATGTCAGCTGTGCAATGCGGGATGGAGCACTTACTGCCAAGTGGATTGCTGCAGCTACATAGAGAAGGAAGTTACAACTGATCAGCAAAAACCTTCTGTGTGGATCTGTTTACCTCATGGCTCAGATAAGTGCTTGTATACAACCACAGTTAACAGCTGCCATCATCACGTACCACTTTAAGTTGGCTTTGTACCACAATTTGGGAATGCCTGCTTTAGACAATAGGCACAAATATGCATCACAGTCACATTTAGATCTGTTCTTTTCTCTTCCTGACAATGTTCTAATTTAAGATCCTAGTTTCACTTAACCAGACATTTTTACTGGAGAGAACTTCATTCCCATATGGCACCTTCAAGGACCACGATTCCTCCAGAAATTTGTATTACATGAGCCAAATTCTACTAACAGTTGTACTGCTAACAGGTCACATACTTGGGGTTTGTCTTTAGACTAATGTTTGTTTAAAAAAGTGAGGAATACATTTTGGATTGTAAATATATTCATTCCAAAAGAACTGTGAAGAGAATAAGGAGAGTCAGATGGAAGAATTTTACCTCTACTTTGTGCTGATTATATAATTTATCAAGAAATTGTTCCACAGGCCTCCAACAGATGCTCTGCTGTTAAAGCCATGAAAAGTCATTCAGGGAGAGGGTAAAGGCCTCGGGGGTGTGGTCCACATGCTTCAGCACATATATCCTCAGTCCTGGCCTGCAGATAGCACATCTGGTCCAGGCATGGACCTGATGCTTGGCCAAAATACAGGCTTACAATAATGCTCCTTTTTTCAGCTTTAATGTAAGCCTGTTTTCTTGCCAAATTCAAATCCTGCCAAAATTTGGCCCAAGATGTTTGCTCAATTGTGCAATATCTTAAGTTTATATCCAACAACTCTTTGCAAAAACAATTGTATCGTGTTTTTAATGTTTACAGGCATTAACAATATTTAATTTTAAGTACAATTTTACTGCTGACACTCTCGTGTTTTACAGTAAATTACCTTAGAGAGGGTTTTTCCATTAGCTCTTAGTGTCACGAGTCCTGCACAGCACACCAAAGCACTGGAGCTAGAGAGACCAGAACTTGGAGGGATGGTTCCATCTAGCAGACAATTCATTCCAGTTGGGTTATTAAGACCAAAATGTTCCTAACAATGAAAAAATAAACAATCTCAGTTTCAAGTACAGACAGGCTCAGGCTTGCAATTATCTGATACTTAGAAAGAGAATCTTTCTGCAGAGTTGCTGGAACCAAAGACCTGCTTCTGGTATCTCCAAAATAAAGCAAAATTTTCATTCTATTCCTTAAGAACAAAGCCAATGGCAGGGCTTCAGCCAAAGGTATGTCTGCAATTCCTGTACACAAACATATATGAGCTGACAGAACTGTACCCCAAGCAGAATTCAGTATGGGCTAAACGCCCAAGAATTTACCAAGCTTCGTGGGTGGGTTTTGCAGCAACTGGCTCTGCTCTGAGCTGCTGTGGTGACAGTACCAGAAGTTACCAATCATTTTATACCCTACTCCTGTCTTTTTCTCCACAGCTCCTCACTTAAGGCATCCTGAAGAGCGTAAGGTCCACTTTATGCTTCACTTCTAGTGCTGGCATGTGGTATTAGGGAGCCACATCATGCTGATGAGGACCTAGTAGCCACGCAGCTGTATTCAAGGCCAGATACTCCTACCTCCTGAAGCACCCACAATGGTACTTGATGGATGTTATGCTTCAGGAGGCACAAAGACATACCTACCAGCAGTGACAGTCTCTGTCATGCTATTTTTAGAATAAGGTTTAAAATATTTTTATCTACATGATAGATATCACAGATAATATATTTAATCCAGAAGTCATAAATCTTTGCGTACATACTGTTTTAATTATACTCTTTAGTTGCTTTGTCTTTTTATTTATAATCACTTTAATATAAATTTCTTTCTGGTGTTAGTTTGAAATAAACATTCAGTACTTATTAAAAAATCATTGAATGTATACAGGAAATATATGAATAGCTACATTCTGATAGAGCTTTATATGTCAATAAATGATGTTGCAATGTCAATAATCAGAAAAAATGGCAGTGTTTCCATAAAGAAATGCCCACCTTCAAAAGATTCCTACTACTTTTCCTGAAACAACTTCAACCATAAATACCAACGGTAGAGATCAGCAAACACAGAGAGCCCCCTTTAATGACTTCTACCATCACTTCAAATTATTAAATTCCCCTTTCTACAAATATAAGGCAATTCATACCTGAAATACTATTGCTGCCCATGCCCCTTCATGAAGAACACTAGACAGGCTTGTTCAAAAACAGAAAATGCTTTAGTAACCAGAAACTGATCCACAGTTTCTGGATTGTCTTGAATGTGAATCAGACTTGCAAACTTATCACGCGATGTTTAAATAGAAAACGTACTTCAGTTTCAAAAATGAAAATGGACTTTGCCAAGTTCTGCAATAGTTCTGTCCCAAAAGGATAGCATGTTCAACTTAATATAAACAGATTATCCCGCTGGACCCTCTGAGTACTTGTATTTCAGTGTTTCTTAAGTCTGTAACATTTATGCTTATTTTCTGCCAGGGCTAGAGTCTGCAAACCTGCTTTGCAAATTAACCTTCAAGTATAAAAGCTTGTCCTTAGGAAACAAATCTCAGTAGCAGACTGCAAAATAAATAAAGTCAATTGGTCATGCTAGCCTTAATATAAGAAAGGATATATTGTAAAGAAACCTAATCTATATCTCTACAGTCAATGCAATTTAAATGCCTGTGTTACTGAGCAATACAAAATTGAAAATACTCATGTTACTGCAAACGTAAGTAATTTATTGGGGTCTAAACATAGGGGCAGTGGTCTGTTTAGGAACTGTGGCTTGTAATAAAGTGATTTGTGGCACTGATTGTTCCAAATACTGTATTTTGAAGACTCTGGTGGCAGGTTTGAAGCAGGGTTTGTTGGCTGTCTGCAGTCCTTATCTATTGGATCATCCTCTGGGGCAACCTAAATGGCCTATCCTGCAGCAAACTTCATGCGCTTTAGAAAGTACATTTACCCATAATTTTGGCTGGCTGTGGTGACCTGTTTCTGACCTAGCCATCACTGTTTATCCCATCTGCTCTTCCAGAAATATCACTGGATTGACACAGACCTGAGAAGTCACCATGTTTCTTCCTCAAAGGGCCATGAATCACCTGCAAACAGCAGGTGAGATTTATAGGAAGCCTCATCTGTGAGTTCAGGCTGCCTCCCAGGACAACACTGACGATCAGCAGCACTTGGTTTCACAAGCAATTCAGTCTTCAAGTCAGTCTGGAGACAGGCTAGCTCACAAAAGAGAAGATAATGCTCAAATGAGCAGACAAGAAAATGTCTGTCTGTTCAGTGTTCCTGCCTTTACTGTAAGTGTGCTGTTTCCTGCGTAGCTGCGCTCTTAACTTGGGAAATTTTGAAAATACCATTCAAATTCCACGTACTGAAAATCTGGATAAGTAATGGTTCTTACTGGAATATTTCTTCTGCACGCTGTTCGCTTTTTACATTTTCTTTTGCCACTGTGTAAGTCAGCTTCACTCAGTTCTTATGCACAAGTTGTAGGTTTCCAGCATTAATGGAAATTAATGTTTTTTAAAATGTTTCCATAAGAAGAAAAGGACTAAAATATGATCTTTGTGTTCTGACAAGACAAGCCTCCAAACCTTTTTAAAAGCAAATTTTAATCAGATGATTTCATTGGAAAGCATTCTTTTTAACTTCAAAATACTGATATGTGATCTTGATAATGAGTTTGATCATGACTTTACTAAGTAAGTAATTATTTGCTATTGTGATTTATGTAATAAAAATAAAAATACAGCTCTGCAAATATTTTAAAATAAACCCACTCTTGTCTCCTTTTCAAATTTTAACATCAAAACACTTACCTGTATGTCAAGAAAAGCTATAGAATGCAGGAAAGTATTTTGAGGATGAATAGATTACGCTTGTCATATTTTACTTCTACATTAATTTCATAAGTTAAACGGATTTGGCTTACCTGAATACCCTTCAGTCCACACAGGAAGTAGTTATGCCACTGAGGTTTGGTTTTGTTAATCTGAATGTTATTAACACTAGTACTGAAATCCCTGCAAAAATAGAAAAACCTTGAGGCTTTAACTTGTCAGTAAACTTAGTTTGAAAAAACATGGCTTATTAGTGCCACCTGCTGATGAACAAAAACATTTCGATGTTAATTTTTTTCAGTGCAATGTTTTTCAGGGGTTTTCGCACAAATCTTCTTTATTAATGAATTCTATAGGGATAGTTTACATGGAAGCATAAGAATTTTTCCTTAAGTTATAGAAGTCATTAAATAAATTCAGAAATTAAACTGCTTTTGGCATTTGTAATTAAGGCAGCATGCCTTCCATCACATGCGTGTATGTTCTCTTGATCTCTTAGGGAAGTGAAAATCTAAATAATTGTATCTGTCAAACCTAGAATAGAGATAAATACACTTCAGGCTCTCTGGTAATCCCAGCTGAGGAATTCCTCTTCATTACCTTTGCTCTGAATGGCACTTCACTAAAGCAGGCCTACTGCTGCAAAATTATATTATGTCTTTTACAAGATATTATGAAAATAATTTAGTATAAAATAGTTTATCAATTTCTTTCCGGATAATTCGGATAATGGTTTTCCTCCTCCATCGTCATTTCAAATAATAAAAATGGTAAGCCTGAATGTTCCTAAAGAAATTAATGCTACAGATAAGTCTTGTCAAAATGGGCATGGAGTGACGTGCAGATGCCCCAGAGGAGCATGTGTTGATCACCAAGATGTGCAGATTGTTTAGAAGTCTACACTATTGAATGCCCATTAATTTCATCTACCTGTTGTCATTACAGCAGATGCCCAACACAGAAAGAGGAAAGAATGTCAAGAAAAGCTAACAAAAATTGTTCAAAAGTTGCAGGCGAAGCTGTGTTTTTACAAGGCAAGGTCTGCCAAACAATGTGAACAGAGGCAGCTGAACTCCCTGGAAATATTTAGGTTTAATGGGAATAAAAAAACTTTCAAGAAACTATACAGCAGTAGACAGCCTGCAACTAAGTGGATGGAATTTTTTGTTCTTACACTAGTCCCAGTCCGTATCTATAAACTATGTAGGTTAGTGATGTGCTGGTTTTATTTTTATCCAAAATAATATCACTAGTTAATACTTGTAATGAATACCAGTGTGAAGGTGTTTTTAATGATAAAGTATTCCTGCTACCTATGGAGAAACAGTTATACTAATATAAAGCATCTTTAAAATAATATAATTGTCTTCAAATGAAGGCTGACAATTTCACTTTATCTGGGGCAATGAAAGGCTGCAATTTTTGTGCTATGCAACCCTCAAACCCAACAATCAATGTAAAAATGGACCCACAATCCTGCCTGCTCTTCATACGGTCTAATGGTAGCTATGCTGCAGTGAGCTACTCCACTTGTATTACCAGTCTACAACCAATTCCTAGCTCTATGTTACGTGACAGATTTCACACTTTAAGTATCAACTTAGAATTGCCATTTTGTCAGTTATACATTCAATTTCAACATTCAATACAGTGCAGAAATATCAAAGTGTATAGTTTAACATAGAAGTTGCTGGTGTTCAATCTGAACTTTCAAAATAGTGCCACTTACAGGCCTTTATCAACATTGCAGCATCAAAGAATTGTACAAAGTTAGTGTCAGAAATTACTGGGATTTGTAGAGCAACACAAAAGATCGGAAAGGGAGTATTGAGAATACAATACAAGTAAAGTTTGAGAATAGCTGGAAATTCTTCCAATTTGAGATTCATGTGTATTTAGAACAATCTTCCAGAGAATACAACATCACTTTGCTTATGGGTTTTGAATATAGTATAAAAAACAGAAGTACTTATCAAATAGAAAATACTTGTCGAAAGTAATGAAGATTACAAAAATCCTGTGTTTGCTTATGCTTGTATTCTACAATAATCCTAAATTATTATTGTAAAAAAGCAAGGTTGATAGAAATCAATGTGTAAAAGTGATTACTAGAAAGGAAATTTGAAGTCCTC